GTTAGTGTAGGGATTAGCCAATATTGTGATTTAAAATACTAATACGGCTTATTATGTGTTTGACAAGCAGCATACACACTGCAAAAAAATATGTCTTGTTTCTATTCTAAATATCTAACAATTCCTAAATCAAGAATAATTTTCTAGACAAGCAAAAAACATGTCGTCTTATTTTCATAAATAATATGCCAAAATGAAGTAAGTTTTTCCTTAAAACAAGCTAAATAATCAGCCAATGAGGGAAGCATAATAGTTTTGTTTTTCCACTTGACACATGATTATTTTATCCATCCCATAGACAGATTTTTTTAGGAAAAACTCACTTGATTTTGGCATATTACTCCTTAATACAAGACAATTTGCTTTGCTTATCTAGAAAATGATTTAATGAATTGATGAATTTTAGATGTTTGGATTAGAAACAAGACAAAATTATCTAATTAAGATTTCATATGTGTATAAGTATTGAAAGTGAAATGAATACATCACTTAGGACAAGAACAAATGATGTTTCATTGGTGTGTGGTTTGCTAGGATCTGACCATATTTGCCTGAAATACAGTACAATTGTTTGACAATCTGAAATCTGAGAGTACCCCACCTAGAAAAGCTGACAGACACTGTTGTATTAGCATAGACCATGCTCTGAAAGAATAGCAATTCACAGATCCCACCGACTGAAAATCACATTTAAAGTTTTCCAAATTAAGATAGACATGCATATTATCAAGAAAAAAAATTGAGTTTTGATATATTTACAGAACGACTTTTACAAAAAAAATTATAAAAAATTATATTTACTTCATAGTCTAATGATGTTTGGCATATTAGGAATAATCCATTATTTTTTTCCTCCTATATGGATGTCAATCACTGCTGTTTTTCTCAACATTCTTCAAAATAGCTTATTTTGTGTTCAACAGAAGAAAGACATTCATAAAAGTTGTGAACCACATCAGTGTCAGTAAAAGGTGATTAAAGGTAAATTTTTAGTGAACTGTTCCTTTAAGAAACTAGCACAAGTCAGATTGTAATGAATATGTAACATGTCCGTAAAGGTGTCGTCTGTTCAGTGTGTTGCATTCAGCCCGTACGCTGTCATTTCTGGTGCTTAAGGAGCTTCGGGAAAGGTACGATGAACTCAGACACTGGAAATCCTCCAAATGTTAGCATCCATCTGTGTGAAGGCTCACGGCGGAAACACACATTGTTTACATCGATCCACAGAATGCACACGTTCTCTTTAAAGCGCTTATTGAGCAAGTCACAATATACAGGCCACACCCACAATTGTTGACAGACACTGTTCTATTAGCCTAAACCACGGCCTTTGTGAGTGACAATATACAGGCCACACCCACAAATGCTGACATGCACTGTTGTATTAGCCTAAACCAGGGGCTTAGTAAGTCACAATATGCAGGCCCCACCCACAATTGTTGACAGACACTGTTCTATTAGCCTAAACCACGGCCTTTGTGAGTGACAATATACAGGCCACACCCACAAATGCTGAAATGCACTGTTGTATTAGCCTAAACCAGGGCCTTAGTAAGTCACAATATGCAGGCCCCACCCACAATTGTTGACAGACACTGTTGTATTAGCATAGACCATGCTCTGAAAGAGTAATAGTTCACAGATCCCTCCCACAAATGTTGACAGACACTAATGTATTAGCATAGACCCCGCCCTGAGCGAGTCACAATATACAGGCCCCGCCCACAAACGTTTAGAGACACTACTGAATTTGCATAGACCACGCCCTGAGGGAGCCACAATACACATGCCCCACCCACAAATGCTGAGAGACACTAATGTATTAGCATAGACCCCGCCTAGAGCGAGTCACAATATACAGGCCCCACCCACAAACGTTTAGAGACACTGCTGAATTTGCATAGACCACGCCCTGAGGGAGCCACAATACACATGCCCGACCCACAAATGCTGACAGACACTACTGTATTAGCATAGACCCCGCCTTGAGCGAGTCACAATATACAGGCCCCACCCACAAACGTTTAGAGACACTGCTGAATTTGCATAGACCACGCCCTGAGGGAGCCACAATACACATGCCCGACCCATAAATGCTGACAGACACTACTGTATTAGCATGGACCCGGCCCTGAATGAGTCACAATTTACTGGCCCCACCCACAAATGCTGAAAGACAATGCTGTGTAAGCTTAGACTCCGCCCTGAGTGAGCCACAATACATATGCCCCACCCACAAATTCTGACAGACACTGTTGTATTAGGATAGACTACTTCCAGTGCATATCACCATACACAAAGCCCACCCGGAAACTTTGACAGAGACTGCTGTATTATTATAGACCCCACCCTAAGCGATTCAGAAATTACAGGCCCTGCCCACAAAAGTCAGCAACAACTAAATTAATTTAACTTGACTATAATATTGTATCTAATAATACAAAGCAATGTCAAACCCCTTTTTTTAATATTGAGTGAGGAGCAGCAGCTCATTTGCATTTAAAGAGACACACAACAATCCGTATTTTTCCATTGTAAAACTTGCCATTTTCAACATGCTGTAACAATTTATCTGTAGGCCGTTTTGAGTTGAAACTTCACAAACATATTTAGGGACACCAGAGATTTCTGAAGCTTCTTAGGAAGAGGGGCATAATATGTACCCTTTGAATAAAACAAGCTTTCAGAGAAGAATCAGCGAACACAGCAAAACAGATTCAAACACTTCTTACCGGTGCACTTTTTCAGGCTTCCTGGCCTCTTGCCGTGCATCCCGAGTTTACAGCCGAAGTTTTCCTCCCAGAACTCAGCAAACCACACGTTTCTTCTGTTGTTGGACAGCGAGCGGCTGCGGAAATAACGATCGAATGCTGAGGAGAAAGAAGAGGGCATCTTCAAAAAACAACTTCACTCACAAACTACTGGAAATTTGCTCAAATAATGAGACAGAAATGGCAAGTGACATTAAATTAAATGTGACATTTAGAAGTAGAAGGACTGACACGGAAAGGTTCTTCAAAACTATTCATTCAAAACTTTTCTTTTAAGAAAATACACATTTTTTAGAGTGCACAGAAGTGGATATCAATTTAAAATGAGGTTTAATTCATTCATTTATTTAATTTAGTTTTTTTTTTCCATGCATTCGCTATAGTTCATGCAAAATGAACAACATTTTTTTCTGCATTTGTTTTTTTAATATACACTACCAGTCAAAAGTTTATGGCAGTAGGATTTTGAAATGTATTAAAATAAGCTGCTCCTGCTCATCAACGCTGCATTTATTTAATCAAAAATACAGTACACACTGTACAATTGTGAAATGTTATTGCACTATATAAAACTGCTCAAACGTAGTTTATAATTTAATTTAATCATTTATTTCAGTTTAATTATTATTATCACACAATCCTTCAGAAATCACTCTAATAATCGTTATTATTATTATTATTATTATCATTATTATTGTAATAATAATAATTATTATTATCATTATTATTATTATTATTATTATTATTAATGGTAACAGTAATAAAAGCAATAATGACTGGACTACTAATTTCATTTCAAACTACATACAGTGAGTAATATATAAAGATTTAATAAATATTTAACAATTAAACAAATTTTCTACATTTAATAAATCCCGCCTTGATGAACAAAACACTTTTTAAATTATTAAACAAAATTAATAATAAAAAACTGACCCCAAACTTTTGAATGGTAATGTGGGTCAATATTAATTTAATGTGTTATTGATATATTGTATTGCTGATGAAGATGATGATGATGATGATGATGATGATGATGATGAGGATTTTTTTAAATAAATAACATAAAATTGTAATTAGATTTCTCATTCTTCACTATTAAACAAAAATAAATTATCAATTAAAACTAAATTAAATTGTGAGCCTGAGTAATATTATTATATCTTTATTTATTAATAATTAAAAAATATATATAATAGTATTAATATAATAACAACAACAACAAAAAACAACACTGGGAGAACATGCAAACTCCACACAGTAATGCCAACTGACCTAGCCGGGTCTCTAACCAGCAACCTTCTTGCTGTGAGCCGATCGTGCCCATTGCGCCACAGTGACACCCCATTATTATTATTATTATTATTATTATTATTATTATTATTATTATTATTAACAACCATAATAATAATAAAAATATTAATTTGTGCACTGTACTGTCTATTATATTGCTATACTTTTTGTATGTTGAACAGTGGACAACAATATAAACTGACTACACATTTAGTTTGTATGATAAATAAATAATCGGTAGAAGCAGGAAAGGTGTCTGAAGGTGTCAGTGAAGTGTCGGAGCGTGTGTAAATCCTCATGGTTTTCCTGTCTGCTCTCTGAGTCTCATCGCAGTCCCTACAGACACAATTACAGCATGTGTTGTGACAAAAGAGCAGTAATTGGCGTGTGGATTTCTGAGCCGGAGCTGCAGGGACAGGACTGGGATTAAACAACACCGCCAGCAGGATCCCACATGATGGAGATCATACTGATGGAGATTACAATATTAACTGATAATAACCTATGCTTGTCTGAGAGCAGGAATCAAGATACTGCTACGTCTGAGCTCTGCTGTTTAATGAAGGTGTGAAGAACAACTCAACTATGATGCAAGTCTAACTTTGTGTCACTGCAATGCTGTTATTTACAATATAACTTATATTAAAGGGACTAATTATCCCTGATTTTACAAGGTGTAAAACAAGTCACTGATGTCTCTAGTGTGTGTGCGTGTGTGTGAAGTTTCAGCTCAAAATATCATACAGATAATGTTTTATAACTCTCTGAAGCTGACCCTTTTAGGCTTTGATCATAATTGTGATGTTTTGGTGACTGTCGCTTTAAATTGGAATGAGATTGTGCACTTTTAATGGGCGGCGATACAATGCCTGTGTGTCAGCATAGTGGCAGATAAAAAAGTATGAGGTTAATGTTAATGAGGGAGAGATGGTCATTAATGGGTGGGGTTTTCCCCTCTGATGACAAATCGAGTGTGTGTGTCTGTGTGTGTGTATTTCTGCTTAGATGAATGATATGTACCATCTACAGTGGCTCTTTTGGGCAGGATGGTGATGGCCCCTTCAGCCACTCTCTCCTGCTGGATTACAGGGGAGATTTTGGAGCCCCAGCTGTCGGATCCCACCCACAGAAAGTGACCTGTCTGGTTGCTCCTCTTGGCGGAGTCCAGCACTCGCCTGCAGAGGAAAACAAACATCCATCAGCTGAAATAAAATAAAATAAAATAAAATAAAATAAAATAAAATAAAATAAAATAAAATAAAATAAAATAAAATAAAATTAAATTAAATTAAATAAAATAAAATAAAATAAAATAAAATAAAATAAAATAAAATAAAATACAATTAAATTAAATTAAATTAAATTACATTTAATTAAATTAAATTAAAAATAAAGAAAATACTATAAAATAAAATTAATGAAAAAATAATTAAATAATATAAAATAAAATACATAAAAAATGCAATTAAATTGGTATAAATAATAATAATAATAATAATAATAATAATAATAATAATAAACAACAACAAAAATACTAATAATAAATAATAAATTATAAAATAATAAAAATAATAAATTGTTCCATAATATTTAATGCAATGACAAATTTCAGTATTAAATTAAAATAAATTAAACATTCTAATATTAAACAAACTAATTTACTGTCCATTTCATGATCATTTTAGCTGTCTAATAATCAGAGTGTCATTGCTCACTCATAAACACTACTCACAAATGATATATCCGTAATTCATTACTTCATGAATGTAACACTTCACAAAATCAACTTACTTCCATTATAAAAATCAACTTGAGGATAAGCAGTTACGTGTATATGGATAATTATTATTTTACATTTTATTTTTTATCAAGTACTAGAAAGAAACCAAAATAATCAACCACTTTCTCTCTTTAAGAATCTATAACCCCCCTTATATTTTCACAGTGTAAACTAGTTTGTATGCTCTTGCTGGATCTGTTAATAAGCCCCACATTTAACATTAGTTTTCCCTCTCCGGCCATTAAAGGCTACATGACTGGAATGTGAAATCAGATTAGCATTGGCCGCCAGGCATATAAATGTTAATATTGTAGTCCTGAGCATCTGTTAAACCAACAGGCGTACTGTGTGAGTGTGTGTGTGAGGAAGCCAGAGCTGCTAACAGTGTGAACAGATGAAGATAAAGATGGAGGAACCAAACTACAGGAGAAATGTGTTCATCAGTCAGTCATTGCTGTCCCTAAAAATAAAATAAAATAAAATAAAATAAAATAAAATAGAATAGAATAGAATAGAATAGAATAGAATAGAATAGAATAGAACAGAACAGAACAGAACAGAACAAAACAAAACAAAATAAAATAAAATAACATAAAATAAATAAAAAATAAATTAAATAAAAAACTAAACAAAAATTAAATTAAATTAAATAATTATGAAACTTACAAATAATAGCAATAATAATATATAATTCACTCCCCAAGACTACTTCTAAACATTAAAATAGTATAGTAAATAAATAAATAATAACTGTGACAAGTTGCTGAAAGCTTTTATATTAGACTCTATATTTGATCAGAGCAGCCAGAATGTTGATGTTTGCATTTATTTTAAATGCATTGCTTATTTATGTTTCTGTTTGTTTGCACAGTGATAACAGAATATCTGAATCGATTATGAATAAAACATAAAAACCTCAAACTTATTTCATTTTAGTTGTTTGCCAAAGCAGCTTTTCTCATTTTTTGTTGTTTAACTTGTACTATGTACTTAAAAATGTGATATTTAAAACTACATACATATAAAAAACAATTAACTGTTTAAATAAATACTTATATACATAAATAAATGAATGAATAAATAAATAGATAAATGAACAATTAATTAAACAAATACATATATAAATAAATAAATAAATAAATAAAACATAAAGAAAACATAAATATATAAATGAATAAAGAAATAAAGAAATAAATATAAAGAAATAAAGAAATAAAATTATATATAAAATAAAATAAATATAAAGTTTAACATTTAACGAGTGTCTAAATTAAGCATGCACACTGCTGATATGTTTTAAATATCAATTGTGTGGTATAATTTATGCTGCTTCATTTTATTTATTATTTTATTATTATCTAAGAACAACAGGCACTATATGACACTATTTATTTGTTAATTTATGATTTATGTCTTCCTTCAGTACAGTATGTACAGTAGCTATTATATTTTGAACACACTCTCTGACTCTCTGCAGTGTTTTTTCTTCTTTACTGTTTTTGAAGAACAGAAAGCAGCACCTGATATCGTCCTCATTGGCAAACATGATGATGGCCCGAGCGTTTGGGGTCTCCAGGAGCCGCCGGATTATCTTGTCAAATTCCCCAGCCCTCGGTTCCCTCGGGATCTTCAGAGACTGAGCGATACACACACCGCCTACAAACACACGCACACACACACACACACACATTGAAAGAGAGAAAGAGAGAGAGAGTTAGACTGTATTCAATATATAATATGTGTGTGTGTGTGTGTGTGTGTGTGTGTGTGTGTGTGTGTATATACACACATACACACATATATACATACAAACACACACACACACACACACTAAGTGCAAATACAAGTTTTTACACAAGAGGAGGGTAAGTTGGCGGTTCATTCCACTGTGGCAACCCCTGATAAATAAAGGGACTAAGCAGAAAGGACAATGAATGAATAAATGATCTTAAAGAGCATGAACTTGTGCGACTTCTGAACAGATGGTGGCGCTAGAGGGATTGATATAGATGCTCCAATATTGCTGTAGTGGATGTTCAGACTCTTCTCTATTCATGTGCCATCTTCAAACCATACGCTTCTATGGCCTGCCAAGAAATCTTCCAGAGGGGAAGTAAACGAACACTTACAATTACAACAGGTGCCAATGTATGTACCTTCAATACTTGGCCCATAACATGCAAAACAAAGTGTACCACCATATGGCTTGGACTAGGAGTGTAAACACTAGATTCCATGCAGTAAAATGAACAAAAACTCCACCAAACAACCTTATTCCACTGCCTATCTGAAGGCCTTCTAGTTAGTCTGTCAAAAAAAAAGTCTTGAATATTTACAGCCGATTACTGTAATGGACATAAAAGAAGCACATCCCATCAAGCTCCATCTTTCACACCGCATCTCCAGGTGCTTGACATCATTTATTAACACTTAACATGACAGTCTTACAAAAATCAGGTCTTGACAGGCTATATTTGAGGTGAGCGGACTCATATTTCATATTTAATGTAAGCTGTAATATCCAAGCGTCCGTCCCTCCGAGAGCTCGATTATACCATTAACGTCCCGCGCAGGGGTGAATGATGGACTTCCTCCAGGATCTAATCGCCTCCTGTTACAGTCCATTTAATGAGCGCCGGCGTTTTCCTCAGCCAGCCGTGTCACTGTACGCTAACGAACGCGGCTCCTTATACCATCCGTCACTATGACAAATACTAATTAGCCTTAATTAATGCCCCTAACAATGGTAATCACCAATCTGTTGCGCTCGTGCCCTCCTCCGATCCATGATGATTGTGAGTTTACGAAGGGTGATATTTGCTTCGGGTTACACTGCCGAGGAGAGCGTTTTTCAGATGCCACTTCTAAACACCTGCAATTTCTTTAGCCCATAATTCAGATGTTTTTATGCAACGTTGTAGGCAAATTTACCTTTTAAAAAATTAAGGAGAGCAATTGTACACGCCACTCCAAAAAAATAAAGTGAGGTTGTCTTGTCCCAACATTGGGGAAAATATGGACAAACTCAACCATTGGGTTAAAAAGTGTTTGGGTTTGTAATGTAATACAGTAATGTGTGTATTTATTGTGTATTAAAGCGCTACACAATCATGAGGGGGGTCTCTCCACTCCACCACCAGTGTGCAGCATCCTCTTGGATGCTTGGCAGCCACAGGACAACAGTGTGCTTACCAGAGTGACAGTGATAAAGCCAATTTGGTGGATGGGGAGGATTGGTAGGCCATGATGAAGGGAATTTGGCCACACAGAGTGTCAGGACCCCGGTTTAACATCTCATCCGAGAAACACTGACAGGATAGTGTCCCCTTCCTTTACTGGGGCATTAGGACTCACACAGACCACAGGTTGAACACCCCTGCTGGACTCACTAACACCACTTCCAACAGCAACCTAGTTTCCCCATGTGGTCTGCTTAGCTTCAGTGAGTAACCGGTCTTGGGCTGCAGGGTGATATGCTGTGGCTTGTTGGGTTTGTATATGACAACAAAGCATTTTTACTAGAGTCTACCAAAAAAGTATCTAACTAAACATTTACTTTGAGCTTTCTACACTGTAAAAAGTGAAAACTTAAACGAATTACTTCAGCATGAATTCAACTACATGAATTAATTAATTTCCACTTTTTTCATTATGGTTTTCAGTAATGAATAAGTTGGAAAAACTTCATTCTTTTGGGTTTAAGAAGTTCAAGTAATTTATTTAGGTTGATCCAATGAGGCTTTTTTCAGTCTATTGATGAAAGAATGAATTTGGTTTCTTGTTTTTAACACTGACAATGCTGTTTACTAAACATCAAAACATGGTATAAATGCATATTTTAAAGTATCACAATAGAAAAACAAGTGATGAAAATTGCAACTGTTAAATTAAAGTATTGTAACTCACAAAATAAAATATTTACATTCAATAATAAAATGCTGGGTTGAGCTGAATGTGGAAAAACTCAATTATTGGGTTAAAAAAAAAAACTGAAAAAATAATCCAATGTTTGATTTGTCTATATAATAACCAAGCATTTTTACAATCTACAAAAAAAGTATCTGATCAAAATATTTATCTGATTTTTCTATTCATCAAAGAATGTGTTGTGGTTACCAGTTTTAAACACTGACAATAATGTTTACTTTACATCAAAACATGGTATAAATGCATATTTTAAAGTATCACTATAGAAAAATGAGTGATGAAAATTGCAACTGTTGATTTAAAATATTGTAACTCACAAAATAAAGTATTTACGTTCAATTAAAAAATGCTGGGTTGAGCTGAATGTGGAAAAACTCTGACCAAAAATATATCTGACCAAAATATTTCTCTGATTTTTCTATTCATTAAAGAATGTGTCGTGGTTACTAGTTTTAAACACTGACAATAATGTTTCAGGCTCCCAAAACACCAAAGCCAAAACTTTTTTTTTTTCTATTTTCAGTTTACAATCTGTGCTATGAAATGCACTCTCAGAAAACAAACTGAAGCATCACAAGACTGAATTTTGAAAACAGCAAACCTGCTGATTGATAGTTAATAGCAATGAACCGGTTGGTCCCAGAACAACAGCGATTATTAGGAAAAAAAGCTGGCTTGCTACAGGAGAAGCACTGTTCTGAAAACAGCTAAGCCACTGTCACGCTCCGAAGCGATGCAGCGACAACACAGCAACACACTGATGTCTCTCCAAATCTCTTTCCAAATGCAGAATGAGGCTTTTATGTGCCACAAATGGGAGAACATCAAAAGGCCGCTGAATTAGCATTCCAGAGCTGGTGGCTTTTTCAATTCACCAAATTCCTTTTACATTTGGTGCCTTTCCATTATTTTTTTCGGCAGATACTGCGGTCTTTGTGCTGCGCAGGGACTATATTCAGCTAAATGGCGAGGAAGAGAAACACTGGCTTTACTAAAGCTCCTAAATTGATTGCACGGGCAGACGTCAGCATTGCAGCATGTTGCAGCGAGAGAGCAACGGGAGATTTCAGCTTTTGACAGGAGCTTTGAGATAAGCAGCACCGCCTGCCGGTGACGAATGCATGTGCCCTGAGTGTCACGCTCAACGAAATTAGTCACTCCACAATTAATATGCATGAACGACTGCATTACAATATTTTTAGTACTGAAAGAATAACTGTGAAGCCATTTTGCCATCGCTCAAAGCATTACAAACAATAACACTAAAAATATGCAGTAAATGCAATATATATATATATATATATATATATATATATATATATATATATATATATATATATATATATATATATACACATGTCCACTGTACATATCTTTTGCACTATAAAATAAAAAAAACAAAATAGTCATATTTTGAACCCTAAAATTGTTTATATATTGAATTTAAATGTAGTAATGCCATTTTTTGCATAACCCGGTCAACTATATACCTAAAATCTGTCAAATTAATATAAAAACAGACCAAGTAAAATATGCTAAAAGTGTCAATTACATTGATTTGTTGACAAAATGACTTTTACATTAATTTATCCTACTTAATCTTGGCAATAAAGCCTTCATTTCCTAGTCTTCAAGACATATTTATTAATTATCACTCCAACATTAATATGCATGAAAGACTGCATCAGAATATTTTAGCTCTGAAAGAATAACTGCGAAGCCATTATGCCATCGCTCAAAGCATTACAATCAAAAGCACTAAATACATGCAACCAATATATATATAGGCAATCTATTCATATAGTGTAATTAAATACTCAAGAACCCAAAACAGTTACTCTAATTCAGGAATAAATGTGCTGCCAGTTAATCTGTCCACTGTTCATATCTTTTGCACTATAGAACATGTATTAGTCATGTTTTGAACCCTAAAACTGTTTGTATATTGAATTGCACTAAAGTAATGCCATTTTTTGGATGACCCAGTCAATTATATACCTAAAATCTGTCCAATTATTATAAAAACAGACCAAGTAAAATATGCTCAAAGTGTCAATTACATTGATTTGTTGACAAAATGTATTTTACATGAATTTATCCTACTTCATCTTTGACAATAAAGCCTTCACTAATCTCCAATACAAAATTATTCATTATCACCCCATCATTAATATGCATGAATGACTGCATCAGAATATTTTAGTTCTGAAAGAATAACTGTGAAGCCATTATGTCATCGTTCAAATCATTACAAACAAGAATACTAAACTATGCAGCCAATATATATAGTGCTTGATAATCTATTTATAGTGTAATTAAATACTCAAAAACCTAAAACAGTGACACCAATCAAAAGAATAAATCTGTCCACTGTTGATATCTTTTGCACTATAAAACAATTTAATAATCATAATTTGAACCCTAAATCTGTTTATATACTGAATTGAATTGAAGTAATGATATTTTTTGGATAACACGATCAATTAAATACCTAAAAACAGCTAAACTAATATTAAAAATGAATCAAGAAACAAAATCCTAAAAGTGTCAATTACATGAATTTGTTGACCAAATGTTTTTTATATGATACTAATTTATCTTTGGCAGTAAACATTCATTTAAAAATCTCCAAGCCAAATTTATATCACTCCACCATTAATATGCATACATTATAATCTATTTATAATTAATTATTTATTTTATTTTTTATAATCAGACTTGATAAAAAC